ATATTATTATATGTGTGTGTGTGTGTGTGTGTGTGTGTGTGTGGGGGGGGGGGGTGTATGCCGTAATACTTTTGCAATAATCAACAACGATGCTACCACGATAGTAAATATTATTATTATTACTCAACGCTGTTATCGATTGTCGCATTCCATTTACGCGATCGAAAGAGTGTTTGTAAGGTTATCACGTAGAACGCTTGAAAGTGTCGCGAAGGAAAGAGAAACAATGAGCGCATCGTCGTGCAACAGACGTGCGCCAACCTCGACATATATCGCAGAGTCGGTTAAATCGCGCGTGAAGTCAGATGGCCAACAGCGAATCGATCGCCTCGATTTAACCTGACGTCTTTACAATTTTTTTTTTTTTATCAATTTTTACAAGGTTAAGTAATTTTTCATATGTGACTTTCACTCGAGTGTGGCGAGAGAGAGAGAGAGAGAGAGAGAGAGAGAGAGAGAGAAGAAGAAGAAGAAGAAGAAGAAGAAGAAAGATGATTTCTGACATTACGAATCGCCGGCAGTAACGCGAACTGGAGCTGTGCGAATGATCGCGACCACGCCAAAAAAGAGAGGAGGCTGCGAGCCAGCGGACAAACATCGATCATCGGTAATTTCACAGGGAATATTTTTGTCCGTGATCCGAAAAATCGCGAATATCTGCCGTAAAACGAGATAATCGCGTCGCGCTTTCGAGACGATCGTCCGCTTTGTCGCGGCTCGTTCGATCGACGGGCCGGGGAAAGAAACCTCTCTCGTTTGACGGTGGTTCGAGAGTGGAGTCAAGGGGCGAATCGGCTACGGACACGAGTATCGAGCATGAAAAACGTTCCGGCATTCGGCGTTCAAGTGCGGGGTTTACTCGAGAGAAAAACTTATGCGCGATTTAGTTGCTCGTGTTTCCTCGACGGCAATCACGATGCGGAACACCGCCTTCGAAACGGTACGAAACGGCGGTTGTCTGCGAGCCGTTAAAGAGGTCATCGCCAGCCGTAGGAAGTGCCGAGTCCAAGGAAAGAATCGGAGAATGTTTTTTAAAACTGCGTTTTAAAAACATCGGATGCCTCTTCGGTCGTTACCTTTATTATAAAATTCGTGCTGATTGCGCGAGGATGTAGCGAATTCTTCGCGGTTCCCATTGTGTTGTCTACAAAAAGAAAATATTATATTGTTAGAAAATGTATTTTTTCTGACGTTATATAAATAAATTCACAGTTGTATCACAGATATTAAAGATACAGAGACATACTTTTTTAAATTGAATCGGTGAATATTTCTCTGATCGAAGCAAAAAAGGCGGATATTTAATTAATATTCATTTCAACCAATGTAGATTTATTATAATCTCGGTTTAACTTATTTTTTTATCTTTTTTTTAGTTCTAGGAAGTAGAAAAAGATAAAAAGTAAATTAAATAAAAAATAAAATTAAGTTTTAAATAATTATACTTTTTCGGAGCGACCTTCTGTGAAATAAAATTCATATTCAATTTCAATATTTAAATTTATGCATTTTTATTCTTAAACTTGCTATTTATAACCATTGTTTTCAACAATTTCTGATATTACTAGTTAAAATAATCACTAATGTTTTTCAATGACATCTCACTAAATGCAAATGTTATACTTATAATTATTATTTAATGTTTATGCTAGTTAAAACTAAAATTTTTTTAAAATGCAAACGATAAAGTACTGCAGAAGTTTCACGAGATATATTTTGATGTAACGTTTGATATTTTAATACGCAAATTTAACACGCAAATATATGTAGGTAAATGTATTAGCTTAATTGACAATTTATCATTTCGTCTTCACTGAACCGCGGAAAGGTCAAAACCGCGGAAGTTCAACTCGTCCCGATACAACGCAAATTTCTCTCAATTTCTCATGTCTTATCGCGACAAGCTGCGTTTCAATAAGATACAATGAGTCACACGGAATAATCTTCGTGTTACGCTCAATCGGCGTACGCCTATCGGATTCTACGAGCCAATATACGAGCGGCACGATCGCGTTACTCTCCCCGCTCGTAAATGCAATTCGTTCGGTGCTCCTCAGAAAATTGCAACCTTGACTCAGACGCCTGTATAACGGCGCGATGTCGTTAATTAAAGCGCTATCATTATCGGCGCGAATTATCGGATACGTGCATCGTTAATTAAGTCCCATCTCGCCCAGACGATTCCACGAAAGAAGACATTAGCTCGGAACGGAAGTACGCGCCCGAAGGGTGACGCGATAATTCTCATCGAGCTTCTCGAAGGTGGCCCTCAATGAGATCTTCTTGTTAATCCTCATCTTCCTCCTCCCCTCCCCCCCGCCCTCCGGCCTCATCTTGCAATAAGGTTCGTGGAACGTCCGAGCGACGTCTTTTCACCAGAAGAACATCGCTCATCGTCATCGTCACGACGAACACTTCGCTTTATCAAAATATTTCATCGTTCATCGGCATCGTCCGATATTCGAATTCGCTATGCAAGATGAACGGCCGCACGATAAAAATGTGCGGTTAACGGGTACTTTCGCGCATGCGTTCTGATTTGCACTGTCGTTCGCGGGAGGCCCGAGCGAATCTAGGCTAGTCAGCTGCAGTTGAGATGCAACAGTCTAGTTTCACCTTGGGATTAGTTGCATGCCGCCGTTCGTCTACAGTTACTCCGTCGTGAAACGTGCGGTTTCTCAATTTCCACGCGGTGTCGTTCGACGTACCGCAAGAGAATCGCTTATCTCAAGACACACTTTGACAGGTAGCAATTGTGAGGTGAGTTAATCTTAAGTGATTCGTGCTTAAGCAATTATTACTTTTTAATAAAAAAAAAAAAAAACACATTAAATTTGAAAAGGAATTTGAAAAGGCCGGATAAGAAGCAAAAGAATGAAATATGTATAATCTATTCAAATTATAAGAGACACGATGAAGATAAGATCTATCTTGATTTTTATTTAACATTCTATAGTCATATGCGAAATAAAATGCGGATGGTAAGTCAATGACAAGGATTTATAAAAAAGTTTCCACAATTAAAATGAACTTAAGTCTTGTGTCCGAGAAATCGGTCCGAGATCTCGGATGGAGAGAGAATTGACCAAAGTGCGTTTGAATAATTCGATCAATTAACCAATGCGATTAGTCCATTCTCTTCTCGTCTGACATCTCGGATCAATTTTTAACATTGTGGACAAGGCTTTAGACACATTCATATAGAGAAAAGTAGGGTAATTGTATGCAGCGGGTAATTGTGCGCATCCTGGTTTGGTACTTTCCCGATACATAGTCTTCACCGCAGTGAAATTTGTAGGCGGGAGATAGTTCTTTTAAGATAGGTTAATGTAGATAGATTATGTCATTTTGAAATGTAATAGCAAAGTTAATAGCATAATTAATAGCAAAAGTGAGAAAAAGTGAAATCACGTATTTTGACATTCAGAAAATAAGACGGTAAATCCATATTTTTAATTTGTTTATTTGCATACTTTGCATACCTTATTTATCTTAAATACGTCATTATGTGCATCTTTTGTTTATTGAATAAAAAAATCTTAGAGCAATCGTTTCTCTTATCGAATGACGGCAGATAATTGTGCGTATGCATTGTATACATATAGTATATGTTAGCACTATCTTTTTTGTTTTTTCCTTGTATCGTTTTAGATGCCTCGTAATTATGAAAGAGAAACGAAAGAGGAACGGATAAAAATAATTGAATTAAGACTTAATTACAACTAGCGATACGATCAATAATAAACGATCTTAAACTAAAAATCAGAGAAGCTAGCCGTAAATACAATATTCCCGAGTCTACACTCCGAAAGCGAATGAAAACGAATTCGATCGAACATATATCATTGAGATGTAAGCCCACTTTTACGACTGAAGAAGAAACAGAATTGGCAGGCCATATGATTAATCTCGCGAAATTATATTATAGACTCACACCTCGCGAGTTTCATAGAGTTGTTTACGCGAATTTGCAGAAACAAACAAAATTAGCCATACTTTCAATACAACATCGAAGTTAGCTAAGAAAGATTGACTTTATTTTTTTTTCTCAAGCGACACCCATGCATTTCATTAAGACAGACCAGAGAACACCTTAGCCTTAATAGAATCATTGCGTTCAACAAAGACTCCAATAATCGGTTTTTTAATCATTTGAGTAAAGTCTTTGAAACGTTTAGATTTAGACCAAATCAAATTTACAGCATGAACGAAACTGAGATCAACACGGTACAAAATAAGTGTCCGAAAGTTTTCGCGCAGAAGGGCGCGAAAAAAGTCCGAGCAGCGACTTCAGGAGAAAGAGAACGAATAGTTACTGCAGGTTTTTATATGAGTGCTGCAGGAAATTATATTCCATCCATGTTAATTTACCCAAGAGTTCGCATGACTCCCCAGCTTCAAGGAAACGGACCCTCAGGAGCAATTTATGGCTGTTCAAAAAATGGGTGGACGAATGAGAACTTCTATGAACTGGTTGCAGCATTTCAATAGTCACGTGAAACCAATTCGTGATGATCCGATGCTTCTTATATTGGATAATCACTCAAGTCACATTTCTGCTGCAACTTTTGAATTTTGCAAAGCCAATTTCATCACTGTTGTCACTCTTCACTCTCACACGCCTCACAGAACCCAGCCTCTTAACCTAACTTTTTTTGGTCCGTTGAAAAACGCTCTTTATCGGGAGTATGATTTCTTGAATAGAAATGCTTATGAAAAAAAATCACTGAATATAACCTCGCAAAGTTGCTAAATAAGATATTCGGTAAAGTGGCTATGAAAAGATATTTCTGGTTTTTCTTCAGCAGGAATTTGGCCTCTCAACCCCGACAAGTTTGACGAAGACAATTTTGTTACAAACAATGCTGATCAAAAACTTATCACTAAAGCAATGAAACTTTGAATGCAAGTAAAAATGTTGATTCCAGTGACTCGGTTGACTCTGTTCATCATTAAACTGCTACGTCTCCTGATGGGAGCTTGCTGAGAAACCGGCTATGTTTCTTACTATTGTTCATCCAATTAATTCAAAGAATAGATCGAGATTATATCGTATTATCGATAATCGCATATCGAGAACCAGTGCGAATGTGAGCAGTGAACTATCGAACCTTCGTCGCGGGGTGCGTATGCGCGCGCACAAAGCCACCCCATGTTCCACACCCCCGACGAAAATGTGCCTATCGATCCGGCGTAACTGCACGAACTGGCGACCGGTCGTGGCTGAACGTTAAACCGAAAGACAAGACGCACGTGCGAAGACGAGATAATAAATGAGTGTGTGCAATTACGGAGTGAGTGCAACGAAAACGATCTCGATCGAGTGCGCCCGCTCGTGTAATTAATACCAGATAAGCCGATACCTTATCACAGAGACGTCCGCGAGAGGGACCCGGATGAAAGACGCTCCGAAGAAGTGAGTAGACGAATGCACAAACAGATTCGGCTGGATTCTCACTATTTCGACGCGATAATCCTTCGACCGCGAGAATCTTCTTCGTTTCCTTAATTAATTCTGCATACTTTCCCTTCCTTCCCTTCCGACAGATATATATACGGCCTTCCGTTAATACTTCTGACGTAACTTCTAACTTCACCGCAAGATCGGCACCAGATTAGCATGACGTGCGAAGAATAGGGATAAAAACGTGAGAAGTAGAATTTGCGATGAAGTTACAACCGGAAATGTTAACTGTAGTTGTCTGTCGTGTCCAGAATACTTTACATCGCGTATCTTCTCTTTCCTCTTTCTACAAATCCTTCGAATCCTCAGTTTGACAATCAAGCGCCAGCACTGTACAAAAATTTAACTGCATCTCGCGACGAATTCTGATCTCGTGATAATCAAGGATATGACAAAACCGAACGCGCGCAATTCGATATTTGTGCGGAATAGTGAACGAGTAAGTGGGTCAGGGAAAGGCGTGTACCTTCATGTAAACCCGTATTACCTGTTTGATAGGCTACCGACGTATAGGCGAAATATGCGAGAGGGAATAGGCCTTTAGAATACAAGAGTCTCGATTTAAAAAGAATTTGTTATTAGTATTAT